ACCAGAGGGCATCGCTATAGAATACATGTTTAAAAGTTCCATACAAATACAAGAAAGTATTCGTTTTCTAACAATTTTCTAAAAAATCTCTATTTGGAACAATTTACCAACATGCGTTGTTGAATCAGATACTCTTTCCAACTTCACGAAGAATTTTGACTTATATATGGCCAACAAAGATTTTCTCTATGATCATAAAATTGACATTGTTGTTTGATTGCCTTTTGTTGTCTTTTAATGCTATTTTGATATGGGCATATATAATTTACGTTTAAGCCCATTATTTATTTATATTTATAAACATGCGGTCGTTACTTCACTTTTGAAAAAAGTCAAATAGTGACATTTTAAGTAATTACCGACCGGTTTTCAACTTGACATTTATCTCAAAGATCATTGTAAAAATTGTACTGGGTCAGCTCCTTAATTACCTGAGAACAAATAATTTGCTGCCTAAAAATCAATCTGATTACAGACAGTACCACTCGGCTGAGACTGCTCTGTTACAGATCACGTCGGAATTTTTTAGGGCGTCTGATACTAAACATGTTTACACACTGACTGTTCTTGACGTGAGCGCAGCCTTTGACTGTGTTGATCATGCAACTCTTTGTCATAGACTAACATTAAGCTATGGCATTTCTGGTTGTGTATTAGATTGGTTGGGATCATACCTGTCTGATCGATCACAGCAGATTTTTTGGACGGTGCCATGTCAAAAACTAGTCGAGTCACAGCAGAGGTTCCGCAGGGTTCCGTCCTGGGACCACTGCTGTTTACATTGTACACGACGGACGTTCTAAATATTATTAATGATTTCAATTTTAAAGGTTTTGCTTATGCCGACGACATACAAGTGGTTGCTAGTTGTCCTGTCAGTGCCATTAATGATTTAACAGGGCGACTTGGTAAATTTCTGTCACGGTTCGAGGTTATGTGCTATATGATTATTAGCCGGACGGAATGCGCTTCAGAAATGCGCGTGACATTGTCTTTCATCCATAGATACATGGATGGCACATTAAAATGAATAAGTGTAAAACAGTTTTTGCCGACCGGTACGTGGCAGCTGTTGTCGCAGGTGGCTGTTGATTCAATACAGATTGATAATACAAATATCGAATATAGTAAAAATGCTATTGTCCTAGGTTTCACATTTGACAAAAAATGGTCAAAGCGTGAACATATTAAAAAAGTTTCTGCAGCATGTTTTCTCAAATCTCGCGCTTTAGAGCAGTTAGAAAATGCTTAAATAGAACAGCATGTTTGATGGTGATGCACGCTTTTATGCACTCTCGTCTAGACTATTGCAATAGTCTGTTATATGGTGTCGCCGATAAAGACATTGCAATGATGCAGTCCATTCAAAATAGGGCTACCAAGTTTGTTGTTGATGGTCGCAAGTTTGACCATGTTAGCCCGATATTGGAAACTTTGCATTGGCTACCTGTCTGCAAAAATTGACTAATAAAATTTTCGTTTTAATGTTTGAATGTTTAAACAACGCGGCCCACAAGATCTAATTGATAAATGCACACCAATAGACGTAACATCACAAGAACACAAACTTCGTTCAAAGGTTTCTAACATTTTAACAGTGCCATTAACTAGGCTTAAGACAGTGTCAAGAGATTTTTCTGTGTGGACCGTTGATTTGGGACGGTCTTCCTAAAGGTTTTCGTGTATCCGACTTATCTTTAAGTCAATTTGAGATAGATCTTAAAACTTACTTGTTCTAGGTTAAATAAATCGTTATAAGACAGAGCTCCTGTGAGAATAGCCCCAATTTTATAACGGGCGCTCTATAAATTTCTTAATAATAATAATTATATTGCTTTTTTCTCTTGTTGGGGACACAAGAACGTTCAGCTCGCGCCCTTTAATAATTAACTATTATTATTGTTATAATACTCGCTGTCGTAACCGATTTACGATGCGACAGGTTCAAATCTTCGATTGAATAAAATACTCCAAACAGTTATTAGTAATTAAACTTTATTTACAGAAGAAATCAACTAATCAATTATTTCTAGCAAATTCAAATTAACACAACAATTAACTTTTAAATTGTTCAAAATCTATCGCTATTTATTTATTTGAACAAAGCACGGGCTATTGCCCATTACCGAATTTAGAGGGAAAAAAATACATAGTATTATACATGCATACCACGATACATTCGTACAATTGCTTCACAAGTATAATCACGAAGATACTGCATTATACCATGGCAGAATGAAAATAATTTCCAAAAACATAAATTAACAACGTCAACAAAACAAATCAAATATCGCTTTAAATAATTCACCGAATCGCTATTCACAAAATTACAGTGTCACGAATTTACAAAATTACGAATTTCACTAATCGCTAATCTTCTTGCGACGTGCACTCATATAATCTTCACAAGCGTCATTTCTAGTTTCTTCTAGATGGTCCGATTCTAGAATGTTCTAGTGCGTTCGGTAGAACGGTTATAACATTACCCCCTTCTTAGTTCTGTTCGTCCCGAACAGCTTTCGTTCCGGTGTCCGCATGGTACGGAGCCAGTCTATCCAAATGAACGATCTTCATTCTTGCTCTCGGCTTCCGATATTCCTGAATACGGTAGACGACGTCATTCAAGCGGGTGATGACTTGATAAGGTCCTTCCCACCCTCGCTGGAGCTTTGGAGAACGTCCTTTCTTTCGCTGTGGGTTGTACAGCCAAACTAACTCGTCGACAGCAAAACCGCCACTGCTTCCTTTCAAGTCGTATCTGGTTTTGGCCGCCTCCGTGTTTTTCATAATTTTAAGGCGTACGTAACGGTGGATATGGTTTAATCGCTGTCGAAGATTATCCACGTATTCTGTTAATGGTTGGTGTGGTCCAGGTGGTACGCCATATTTCACATCAGCTGGAGTTCTTAACGTAGTCCCAAACAGAACTTTTGATGGCGTTTCTCCAGTAGTTGTGTGGATAGCACTCCGGTATGCCATAAGAAACAATGGTATATGACGATCCCAATCCCGTTGATTTTCGTCGACTACTTTAGCCAGATGTTCAATCAGGGTTTGGTTAAATCATTCCACCATACCGTCAGACTGTGGGTGAAGAGGTGTCGTTCGAGTTTTGTTTATACCCAGCAGCTTGCACATTTCACCAAACAGTTGTGACTCAAAATTTTAACCTTGATATGAGTGGAGTTCCAATGGGACACCATATCGACTAATCCAATTGAGTACAATTTCCTCAGCAACGGTACATGCTTCTTGGTTGGGTATTGGAAACACCTCAGGCCATTTGCTGAAATAGTCCGCTACAACCAGAATGTAACGGTTTCCATAATCTGATACCGGAAAGGGTCCAACAATATCTATAGCAATCCGTTCAAAGGGGATACCAACATTGTAGATTTGCATTACTCCTTTTAGCCTTCTTTTGGGTACTTTGACTGAAGCGCATGTGTTATATTTTTGACACCAGCTCTCTACATCTTCTCTAACGTGAAGCCAGTAGAATCCTTCTCGTATTTTTTCAAGGGTCTTGTTCACTCCTAAATGTCCCCCAGAAGGGCCGCCATGCATTTCATCAAGGATTTCGGTCGTTCTAGTTCTTGGTATTACAACTTGCATGCGGTGTTTTGATCCATCGGCTGATTCCCATTTTCGTTTCAGCAAATCCCCTTCCAAATACAATGAGTCCCACTGAGCCCAATAATCCTTTAACACGGCACTATATTCTGAGATGCTTTGCCAGTCTCTGCTATAATACGCTAGCACCTTTTCTTCTCCGTCTATATGCTGTGACAAAACGGCTCCGGTTCCGTTGTTACTTGCATCAGTATCTAACACAAACGTCTTGCCACGAACTGGATATGCTAGCAAAGGAACATCACATAGTTCAACTTTTAACTTTTCAAATGCTGAGTCGCATAGGGAATTCCAGTTGCAAACTCGGTCCTTCTCGGTAAATTGGTGGAGAGGTCTGGCAACTTTTCCAAAATCCTTTACAAAACGTCGATAGTACGTTGCCAATCCCAGAAAACTGCGCAATTCATTTTTATCCTTTGGAGTTGGCCAGTCATTCACAATTTCTATCTTGCTGGGATCGGTTCGAACTCCATCTGAAGATACCACATGTCTCAAATAGTTAACTTCTTTAGAAAATAACCTGCACTTTTTAACGTTCAGCTTTAAATTTGCCACCCGAAGTCTTGTGAAAATCTCCCGTAAGTTTTTGACGTGTTGATCAAATGTTATTCCTAGAACAATTATGTCGTCTAAATAGACAAGACAGGTTTTCCAGTTAAGACCTTGCAATACACATTCTATCAGTCGCTCGAATGTAGGTGGAGCATTGCACAATCCAAATGGCATGACGGTGAATTGCCACAACCCCGATCCGATAGAAAACGCTGTCTTTTCGCGATCGTTCTTGTCGATTTCTACTAGCCAATATCCGCTTTTCAAATCAAGCGTAGAGAACCAACTTGAGCCAGATAGGGTGTCCATGATGTCATCAATCCTCGGTAACGGATAGCTGTCCTTTTTAGTCACATCATTTAACTTCCTATAATCAACGCAAAAAAGGGTAGTGCCGTCCTTCTTCTTTACCAAAACAACTGGCGAAATCCAGGGACTTGATGACGGTTCGATGACGCCTTGATTCTGCATTGTCGTTATCATTTCGTTTACTTCTGTTTGTTTTGCTAGAGGAAAACGTCGTGGTACTTGTCGGATCGGTTTCGAATCCTGAGTATCAATTCGGTGAGTTACCAGAGCTGTCGACACCTATTATGCATTCGTCGATGATATCCGCGACTAAGAATGAACTTTCGAATAACAAGTCGCCTAGCTGAACAGTACGGAGAATCTTTTCATAGACTGGTGCTGTTCCTCCGGTAGCTGTTCGAAGGATGTATTTGTTAGAAGTCTCTTTCTTCAGATTGGGTACCAAATCAGATCTTAAAATCAATTTTGTTGCTCTGGTGTCGACTGTAATTACGCATTCTCGTTAATCAACTTTTCTGTTCAGCCATAGGTCTTTTCGATTTCGATGTAGTCTGGAAACGTTAATTACGGTACTGGGGGCGTCAATTCTACTAGCCAACCTCTGCTCCACAAAGTTGGCTCTTATTAGTTTTCCGCCTCTTCGTTAGAAGGGGCCGATCGTGATACAGGAGCATCTTCTCTTCTTTTGCGCCATCTTGTCGCGCAATTTCGGCAGTAGTTATCTTTTAGGCGGTGTTTACAATCACGACGTAGATGGCCTTTTTCACCACAAATCCAGCATTGGGGTACACCATGCTGTTGGGGTTCGCGTTTCACAACCACCTTCTGGCAAGAGCATTCTTCATGTACTTAGCGTAGACGTACGTCACTTTTTGATGCTTGCTTTGCCGATTCAAAAGTGAGACTGTGCGCAACAGCATCCTTGAGTTTTCGTTTATCTGACAAGAGAAGGGATTGCTTGAGTTCCGAATCACGAAGGGCTTTGATAAACGTATCCAGGGCAGTTTCGTCTCTATGCTCGGGGTCTGATGTCGGATACGACAGCAATGTCAACCGTTCGATATTTTGTGCCAGCTGCTGAATGGATTCACCAGATCGTTGCGTTCTGTTTCTAAGCTGAGACCGATAAATCTGTTTCATGTGTTCTTCACCATAACGTAAATCCAACGCGCTAACCAGAACTTCATAGTTGAAGTGGTTCTCCGCCGAAGAAGAACCTCTGCTGCTGAACCTCGCAGGGCCAGTATCAGTGCTGTTGCTCGTTCTTTTCCGTTCCAACAGTTACTAGTTGCCGCTGCTTCGAACTGGGTTTTATAAACGTTCCAGGACATCTCTACGTCAAATGCTGGTACCTTCAAAGTTCTTCCGGATGCGTGATCTAACGGCATGGCCATTTTTTTGGATTGCTCCAATTCTCGCTTCAATTTGTCTATCTTGTGATCTACCTCAACGGTCTGACGATCAAGTTTCTGCTCGATCATTTCTATTCTTGTTGACTGTTCTTCAATCTGTTCTGCCACTTCCAATTTTACGTGTTTTAGCTGGTCCTTGATCTGTTTTAACTCCTCTGTCTGTCGTTCAGACTCTCCCTTGATCTGTTGTTTTAACTCTTCTGTCTGTCGTTCGGACTGTCGTTCGGACTGTTCTTTGATCTGTTTTAACTCCTCTGTCTGTCGTTCGGACTGTTCTTTGATCTGTTTTAACTCCTCTGTCTGTCGTTCGGACTGTTCCTTGATTTGTTGTTTTATTTCAGTTGACATACTAACCAGAAGTTCCATCATTTTAGCGGTTGTAAACGTGCCTGTACTAATTTCATTGTCTTCGTCAGCACCATCAAACTTGAATTCGTCTGGGTTCTTACCTTCGTCAATGAGAGCTTCTCTCAGTCGTGCTACTAGTACTTCTTTGTTGCTACTTGTGACAAGGCTTCGTTTCTGTAGTTCTTCTCGTAGCTGAACTACGTACGTTCAAACCACACAGTTTTGACATCGTGTTCTTTTTCTATGAGTAGTAATTCGCTGGTCGAAGATCCCACTTCTGACACCAATGTTATAATACTCGCTGTCGTAACCGATTTACGATGCGACGGGTTCAAATCTTCGATTGAATAAAATACTCCAAACAGTTATTAGTTATTAAATTTTATTTACAGAAGAAATCAACTAATCGTTTATTTCTAGCAAATTCAAATTAACACAACAATTGACTTTTAAATTGTTCAAAATCTATCGCTATGACAACGTCAACAAAACAAATCAAATATCGCTTTAAATAATTCACCGAATCGCTATTCACAAAATCACAGAGTCACGAATTTACAAAATCACGAATTTCACTAATCGCTAATCTTCTTGCGACGTGCGCTTATATACTCTTCGCAAGCGTCGTTTCTATATTCTTTTAGATGGTCCGATTCTAGCATATTCTAGAATGTTCTAGTGCGTTCGGTAGCACGGTTATAACTATTATTATTATTATTATTATTATTATTATTATTATTATTATTATTATTACTATAATTATTTTACGTTGGAAAAGACAAAAGTCAAAATCAGAAATTATTTAAAGTCAAGCAGCATCGATGAAACTGTTGGTCTATGGCGCAAAACAGCAACTAATTTCGAAAAAGTTGATAGAATGCTGGCGGAGTCAGGTTCGGTGAAACAGTCACTCAAATTGCTGGAAGAGACAAGAATTGCATCCAGCCTCGACCATGTGTTTAATATCCAATGCCAAGGTTTGTTAATTAAAGCAATAAATGAGCACATTTCTCCATCACAAACGTCGCGTTGGTCAAAGATAGTCGAAGGATTACCGGGAGTGCTCTATAAGGTTACTAGAAAATATTTAATACAACTCCCCACTAATGCAAACTTATTTAAATGGGGTAAGTCAACAACATTTCTATGTCCACTATGCAGTTATCGCCAAACAAATAAACATGTTGTTTCGAACCGTGATTCCACAGCGGCTCTCGCAAGGTACACGGACAGGCATAACAAACTGCTGTCGTTGATTGTCAACTGGTTAAAGATTTTTGCACCATTAGACTGTTGCATATTTGCCGATCTTAATGCAGAAAGTGTGCGTCCAATGTCACAGTTGTTCGACAAGTTGCGGCCAGACATTGCCATTCTCCAAAAAAGCAAAATCGAAATTTTAGAGCTCACAATTTGCCACGAAACCAACCTAGCTTCCTCACGTGAATACAAACGCCAGAAATATAAAAACTTGAAATTTAACTTAAATTCAGTCTACAATAACTGTTCGATAATTATTAACTCATTTGAAATATCATCTGTGGGTTTTTATAACAATTTTAATCTAACTTTGTTTAAAATTTTATGGCCGAAATCTTTAAATGAAAATTGATTAACGCGGTAATTAGCTCGTCACATAACACATATTGTGACAGAAATACTACTTAACCGATTTTAAATACATCTTTTTTACTCTCAAGCACTTGTTGATCAAAGAGCATGAGAGGATCGTACATTATATTTTATTTATTTACACTCTAATATATAATTAATAATTTTTGATTAATTCCATTTGGATTTTGTTTTTTTCGGTAAATAAAAGAATGTTCCCATTATTATTATTATAAAGTTCATCTAAAATAAGTCTGTCCAGAAGTCAAAAATCCACGTAGAGAGAAGTAATAAGTTAGAGGAGTCGGTTATAACAATATTTTAAAAACAAGAAATGAAAATATTTATATAATTAATACAAATTTATTTGAAAACTGCTAATGGCAAAATGGGTATCATTTTTAACAAAACTTATTACAAACATTCAATAACCATAAGTTTAACAAAATTAATTCCGCCTCCCAGTCCGACACCCAGCGGATTTAGGTTCCTGTTCCGAGCCAGGATAAAAGAAGAGGGTTAACAAGAACATGCTGACTTGACGTAAAAACCGCTAAACAAAACGACGGTAGTTTATCATAAGAACTAAACTGGCTCGATTTTCGCCCTGGATAAAAAGGATGGCGTTACAGTTTTACGGACTAGGGATTGCAGAGAAAAGTTTACCAATGAGTCCGGAAATATTGGAATGGTTGGTAGAAATTATGTTGCAGCCGGAACATGGAATGTGGGGGCGTTGTGGCAGACAGGAAGGTATGAAATAATGAAACACATGCTGAAAGATTACAGTTATGACATCATTGGATTGTGGGAAGTATGATGGACTGACCAGGGAAAAATAAATGAAAATGTTTGGTCAGGAGACAAAACCCATGAAAGAGGAGTAGAAATGATGCTATCAGAAAGAGCACAAAGATCCCTAAAAAACTATTGTCCAGAAAAAAACGGGCTAATATATGCAAGTTTCAGGAGAAACGTTAGAGTGATCGTAGCATACTCGCCTGCTACAGACTACAAAAAAAAAATTGAAGTATCATATTTTAAAAAGATTTGGAAAAAATGATAGATGAAACTCCTTAAGACAGTGTTATGTTCTTGGTAAGAAATAACAAAAATAAGAACAGACCTTATTAGAAATATAAAGTCAATACTTAATTCAAATATTAAGTATGTATGCCAGGGACAAATATTGATTCCGATCACTAACTGGTTTTATGTAATTTTCAAACGAAACTCGTCCGAGTGAAGAAAGTAAAACAGGCTTAGCAAACTATATATGGCAATGAAAAAATATCTTGCTTCGAGAAAAAATATAGAAATAAAATTAGAAGAAAAATTGGAAAAATTTAAAAAAATAGAACTGAATGAAAAATGCAAAGAAATAACCAGGAGATTGGCCAAGATAGCAGAAAATTTTAAAAAAATAGTCACGCAAGGAGTCCATGGATAAGTAATGAAACGCTTTGTTTGGTGGATGAATGAAAAAAGATCAAAGATAAGATCTCGCAAGAATACAAAAATCTGAATAAAAAAATTAAGAAAAATGCAAAAGCAGACAAAAATATTTGAATTGAAAAGTAATGCAAAAAAATAGATAGCAACTTTAATGGAGGAAAAGTCAAAACTGATGAAACAATTTAAAAAAAGATTTACGTCAACGATAAGAGCAGTAAACGTTTCGAACGGCAAACTGCTTCTAGTTGAAGAAGAAAAACGATAAAATAATAAAGTTTAAAGTGAATGACAAAAGCGATAAAGATGTTAAAAAACAATAAAAGCTTGCAAAATATATTGTATACCAGCTAAAATAATTAAAGCTGTCGGTTCGAAGATCGCTGACAAAATGTGGAGAAATATGCTTAAATAGTAGAGGAGAGTAGAGTGCAAAGCACAAAATACAAAATACAAAAAGAAGAATGCAAAGTTGCACCACAAAAGTAGAGTACAAAGTTGCAGCACAAACATGGTGCAAAGTTGCAGCTCAAAATAAGACTAAAATTTCATCTTAAACAGTAGAGCACAAAGTTACAGCACAAATAGTAGGATACAAAGGTACAAAATTGCAGTACAAACAGAAGATTGCAAAATTGTAGCTCAAACACTAGGGTGCAAAGTTGCACCACAGTGCACACAGCTGAAGGCAATATTGCAATACATGCAACGGTAATTGTTTATGGCAAATATTACCTAATGATATAACTGGAGTCAACAATTTTTGCCAATGCATTAAACTGATGATATTGCAGCAGTGCTACATTCTTGACTCCCATAGTCTCAATAATAGATCCTAGGTTTGATTCTGATTTAAGGTCAGGATTGAGATGCAGTACATTTATGAATGGAAGCAGATATATCTACAACTGAAAATATATAGCCAAATATATTTATATTTTTTTTAACTCTGACTACAATCTTAAAAAAACTATGCCAAGAAATAATTGAATGTATGTTAGAAAACAAGGTTAGCAAAACCTTACTTGAATAGTAAATATAAATTTTGTTTAAAAATTGAAAATTTTTGAATAATTAAAATGATTAAAAGTAAAGTAGTAAAATAAGGATAGTAAAACTAAAAATACGTTTTTATACAATGGTTAAACTGCAATAGCACGTTAAATATTTTAAATAAATTCAATTATTTATTACTTTTTGTTTAAAAAAAGATCCATCAAATGATAATCCTCATCGTCATTCATCTCTGATTCTTCCATCTGACTAGATATAGCATATATTGTTGAAAAATTATAAATTAAATAATTATGGAAAATTTCATTTTTTTTACCTCATTGGCATTAAAAGTAATCACATCTATGTGATTTACAATAATCATTAACCCTAGTCATGAGCCTTTTAGTAGGTTGTGATTATGAAAACTGTTGCATTGATTAAATCTTAAATGTCAGTGAATATCAATGGATCTAAAAGCCATGTTGTAAATCCCACCCCTTACCTGGTATTACACTCTAAAAATGGCTCTGGAGCAACAACCTTCTTGTGGTATAAACCGAATGGAGCGATAAACTGGATATCCATCTGACCGTCTCCAGCAAACTGCTGCAACAAACACTTTTTGCCACGATACTCCTGCGTGGAGTTTTCGTCATCGAAAAACACTGGCTAGCCTACTCCGTTTTCTTCTTCTAAGAGCCGGTATCGAGTCAAATCCTAGTCTACAGATCTGGATCTGCATCGTTTGAAACAAAATTATCAACAAAACCGATGCAGAAACTGCTGTACTCAACCGCAACTCAAGTTCAACAACCAATAACAGTAACAAGATATCACCTTAATCTCTTATCACTCTTTACTCTTGTGTTCTCAAAACTTGCTAATCTTTCTTTTAGCCATGGTGTTTTTCCTACCACTTTCAAAACTGCCCAAGTTCTTCCACTCTTAAAAAAATATAATCTTAATCCATCGGACCCCTCAAACTATCGTCCCATCTCAAACTTGTCAACTTTTTCTAAAATTCTTGAACGTTTGGCTTTAAACAGAATCCTTACACAGGTCACCTCTTCTTTAAATTTTACACTTTTCCAGTCTGCCTATCGTCCTGGCTTCTCCACTCCACTGAAACTGTACTTCTCCATTTATATGATAATCTCACTAACATTTGTGGTAACCGGAGCTGTGCTGCTATGATCTGTCTGGACCTACCTGCGGCCTTTGACACGATTAATCATCAAATACTCCTAGAAAGGCTAAAAATGGAGTTTAGCATCGCTGACACAGCTTTGTCCTGGTTCAGTTCATATCTTTCAAACCGCCCCAAATTTATTAAACTTGGCACTCTTCTGTTTTTTGCTTATCTACCGAAGTTCCTCAAGACTCTGTATTAGGACCAAGGCTTTTCATTATTTATAATAGTCCATTATCTGACATCTTTAACAATTATGGCTTATCCTTTCATCAATATGCTGATGCCACAAGTATAGTATCTGAAATCTCCCATCAAAATATCACTTCTCAACTCGATAGACTCGATAGATAACTCTTGTGTCTCATCAATAAAGGATTGGCACTCACTTAATTTCCTTCAACTAAATGTCCAAAAATCTGAAATAATGTCTTTTGGCATACCACAGCAACTCACAAAATGTTCTCCACCCTTTAACGTGACAATTGCTAGATCAAGCCTGTCAGCATCAACAAGTCTTAAACTTCTAGGTATTACTCTTGATCCGTCTCTAACTTTCAAAGCTCACACTTCTGCTCTCATCAAAATATGTAATTACATTATTTGGTCTATTCGCCATATTCGACCTTTTCTCACAGTCGAAATGGCCTCCACACTAGCACGTTGCCTTGTATTATCTCGCCTTGACTACTGCAACTCTCTGTTATATGGCTCTCCAGCGTATCAAATTTCCTCTCTTCAGATCGTTCAAAACAGATTAGCCAAAATTGTTTTATAATGATTTCCGAATTAATTGTGTTACCCAATGAAACCTCAAAAAAATTACTCCTTTAAAATCCCATCAAACTGACAGCATTACCTTTTTTTGATGGATATCGGCTTTTGAAATGCATTGAGCCGGCTCATCTTTTCTGCCTCATGATCCCTTGCATTTGACATTGTTATATACTACCTATTTTTTGTCCCCAGTAATGATGCGCCTCAAAAATGGATCATTTTCGTGACGTTTGAGGAGTGAAACACAGACGTCAACGCAACGACACAAATTTCTCTTCGTGAGGACATAGGGAACCCATATATGGAGCTTCGAAGTTAAACCCAGGCCTTTCAGGTGGTCATAAACATTTGAATTTATCAGCTTCCAGGTGGTCGAAAACAGTTGAATTTATCAGCTTCAACTAGCCCCCAAGAACGTGGTGCATCTTCGACGTCAAAATTATCGGATCGAAATTTTGCGAACCATGTCAGGCACTGGCATATTGTCAACACATCTTCTCCATACACATCGGTTAATTTCTTAATGGCTTGAGCAGCATTTTTGCCTTTTCTATAGTAAAAAAGTAAAATACGAAAATGCTGCTTATTGCTTTCAATATTTTAAAAGGTACCGTCCAAAAACTACTGCTTAAAATCGATTGAACTTATTCACAAACAAGCCTTGCTATATTAGCTGTCAAAACATATAATGACATAGCGACTTAAGTGCGA